CCAACTAGATCAAACAGTACAGTAAGTAGTACATCACCCATTAATACACTACTATTAAATCAGACACTTCTACTTGACCATCTCATTCTCCCCCCTAATAGCAGGCAACATACTTTGTAGAACCTGAACCAAACTGTTCCCATCAAACCCTACAGCCATTGCTTGAGTCCAACAGTCATCCACTATTCTGCCCACATCCATGCCTAACCAATTTGGAGAAGGTGAAGATCGGATATGAGAAAAGTCTTGAACTGAGATATGTTTGCTTGTCTGAGAATACAACATAAGTTGATTATAAGATGAGATGTATCCAGATAGATGTCAGATGAATTCATCAGCAACAAAAGATCTGCAAGGAACGAAGACATACCTTCAGCAGTTCTTGTTGATCTTCTGGTGCCAATGAAAAAGGATAAGCACCAAACCGAATCCCCGAACAGTGCTCAATAATAGGATTGGAGGGGATGCAGAGGTAAACATCCACACTTTCTGATGCATGCATCTGATACTATGCCCGAAATGCTAATCAACAATTCACAAAAGAAAAAAGTATAGCATAACAACGAACCTGATGACACCCAACAACCACCACACATTGCTTCATATCATGTAACAAGACACTCCCCTGAATTATCGGAAGTAACAAGATGCTATTCGTGATATTGCAAACATGGAGTGCTGAGAATGTTAGGCTGTTCGATGTTGGGTTTTCTGATGGAAGGGGAGGGAGAAGGTTGACGATACAGTTATCCAGATCAGATATGGTGAGATCTGAAGACTGAATGGGGAGGGCCAAAGGTATCGGCAGGGAAGAATAGGATAGGAAGGCATAAGACCAGGACAAGATGGTTAGACTTGTCGATGCGGGTGGGACAGACGAAGGCATGGGAGCAACGGTTGTACGAAATGGTGGTGGCGTGGGGGGAGTGGGAGTCAAAGATTGCGGAGACGATTGTGCAGTCTTTCACTTGAAGGAGAATTTAGGTTTGGGGGCTGAAGATGCCCTGAGCACTTCGAGTTGTTATTCGAGGGCCATCAGTTGCTGGAGAAGAAGTATAGGTCAGAACAGCTATCGACTAATCTGCCATGAGAGACACAGAATCTAGACACTGGTTAAGGAAGAGATAATTAGATACTCACCAGCTCGAACTGCCTCTGATCATACCTAGTCAAATATCCCCCCATAACCGCATCACTTAAACTCTTCCTCAACTTCACAACCTCAAGGCTCACACCACTGATCCCTTCCAACAAGTTTGAATTTCCAAGAGAATCAAGACGGGTGGCTATTTCTGTTGAGCACCGGTATAGATAAGCCAACAGGGTGGTGTGAGTGGAGGAACAGCAGACCAGAACAAGATGATTGGAAAGTGTTGTAGAACGTCGAGGATAAGGATCGGTTGGTATCTGACATGGTTCGAAGAGCTGAGAATGACAGGGAGGGTAGTTTCTAGACCTCGGAAGAAAGCTTGGCGTGGGGTCGATGGCATCAGCGAAAACGTGAAAATCTGGTATTCCTAGGTGACGTTTGTAAGGTGTTACCCACAAGATGATGGCTTCTATTGCATTATATGTGCATTAAAAGCCCTTATAATTAGTCAATAACCTGATTAAACCTTGTCAACCTCAACAACCTTGTCACCGATTCCAAGGCTTTGGAAGGCCTTGTAAGTCGGGTGCCTGTTTAGACACTTACCACTCATAGCAAGGTATAGAGTGAATGGAAATGGGTCTGGATTTCTTGAGGGATAACCAAATGATGTATCCACACAAACTATGGCTTTAACTGCACCTTTCAATCTCAGATAAGAGTGCTCTCCAAACGAAAAGTTGACTTATGTTCCCTTTCCTCGCCAGCCTGATTTTCACTACAAGGGCCAGGATTTGCCTCCAAGCATCAGAACAAATCATTCGAAGCCATCAAATGGCAAACATGTACAATGGTTCAACTTGTATTTAAGTGTCCCCATCGGCTCTCTGCATCTCGCCCTTCTTCCTTCCCTCCCATTCACTGCTTTGACCCTCTCCACGTTCGTTGACTGTAGACACCCATTTACCAGCAGTCACCGATATTGGGGCTTCAGTCATGAATCGTGTGGCGGCCGTTGCTTTGCAGTTGTTGTATTTGTGATTCATTCCCGAAATCCTTTATTCTCTCATCCTGTTTGTTTCCTGTGACTGTTGTATGTATTGTCCTGACGAGTAGTTTTTACGGCGGTTGAAATGTATTACGTAAATTATTGAATACACTTTGCATTCACCTGTCATCTTTCTCGTGCTTAGGAACAAGTCAACAAATTGAAATAAGCTGAAGATATTGGAACAATTATGAACGAATTTTGAGAGCCTTCAAACCCCTTGTGAGGATCTCGAAACTCATCTGGTGGTGACACCTTGCCAAGGGTTTCTACCATCTTGCCAATCCAAATGTTTACCATATAAGCCTGGGGTAAAAACCCAGAAGGTGGCAACCCTTGGATACCTTGTATGGGCTTATATGGGCTTCCAAGTTCCTCCCGTTTTTGCTGATGGGAGGACAGTCGCAGTGACTTGAAACAGTACAAGCGCGGTCGTGACAAATCCGTGACTTCAAGTCGCACTCCTCGTTTTCAACAACCACTTACTCGCCACTTTACGACTTGCACGCACGCACGATGGCAGATATGGACGTAGACCCCCCAGCCCCTACTAAATCAAAAGGCAAAGGCGACGCAAGCAAAGATGGAAAGCAGAGATTCGAGGTCAAGAAGGTGGGCTTTACTCTCCGTCTTTGACCTGCTATGGGCGCTTCGTCGTCGAAGTTCGATGAGATTCGTTTTAAGATTGATTCGGTTGCGATTCGGTCTGAATTCAACTGACTTTTTGTTTCGAATGGGATTTCGCTCGTAGTGGAATGCAGTGGCGCTTTGGGCTTGGGGTATGTCCGATCCTCGTGTCGTGTGCCATTGCCATACTGATTCACCCCTTCCCTCACTTTCCCCACTTCCGCGGTGTAGATATCGTCGTAGACAACTGTGCGATCTGCAGGAACCACATCATGGATCTCTGTACGTTCAACCCAACATGTCTCGCTACCGGTCCTTATCTCTTAACGGTCTAACTGACGAATATAATCAGGCATCGATTGTCAGGCAAATCAGATCTCTGCTACTAGTGACGAGTGTAACGCCGCTTGGGGAATTTGTAACGTACGCTCCCTCCTCAATCGTTTCTCTCCGTACTCAACTGACTGTTCGTCTCGCTCGGAATACATCTTCAATATCATCGTCACTAGCACGCTTTCCACTTCCATTGCATCTCTAGATGGCTCAAGACGAGGAACGTGTGCCCCCTTGACAATCGTGAATGGGAACTGCAGAAGTACGTATCCGCACCCCGGACTTTCTGACCATCCGATTTTGTTGTCGTACTGACCTAACCATCTTTCGATATAGGTACGGTCGGTAGACTGTTCGTGGTCCCATTTACGCACTGCCCCATTTGCGCGGAAGTCTCAGCTAGCAGAGTGTGGAACTTGGTCGTTGGACAGCTGGTTGTTAGGCCTTGTACAGTAGTGTCGCAGACGTGAATAGACGTGAGGCTTCTGCGACTTGCAGGTTATGGAATGAAAAATTCATAGGAGGTATTTCGTGAAACCATTACCTCGTAGGCGACAAAAATCTACCCTAAGTGACAAGCGCATTCCCACTAGCCGACTTGAACGACTGACCTCGTCATCACCAATCATGGTACTAGTGACGCGCTCTACCAACTGAGCTAAGCGGGACTTGCACCGCATACATAGAGTCCAATCTCGATTCGAGTGAGACAAGTCGCTGGAACTTCGAGCCGAAGTTCCAAACTTTCCCTATGTCAAAGTTTCAGCCCCTCAAGTCCATGAACCTCCCTCATCTCGTCCTCGATAAACTTCTTCGCCGCAAGATCACAAGGACCTCCCGATACACAAAGTGGTTGCGCCAAATCCACCACCCGGGGCGGTTGCACATGCAAATAAGACAAGGGCGAATGCCTCAACTGCGTCGCAGGCATTCCGCACTCAACACACCTCCATCTCCCCTTGCCCTTCCTCATCAACTCATGATGGTGTTTGTAGACGAACTGCATCAGGACATTCTTGGAGTCTTCCACAGGTGGGTGAGGGACGCAAAGTGACTCCGGGACTTCTTCAGTAAAGTTGTATTTATCGTCCTCGACGAGGACCATGTAGTCGATGGGAATCGTCTTCGGTCCGCTGGGTTTGAGCGGGGATGCGAGGGGGGGAGATGGTTTAGATGAGGACGCAAGGGGTGGTGGAGCCTGAGAGTAGGGATGCTGTCTTTTGTACCGTAGTTCACCCCTATCATCACCATTCGCTTTTCGCTCCTTCATCCGCTGCTCTGTAACAATCTCCTCACGTAGCTTCTTCTCATCCTCTGCACTACCTTCTCCGTCCTTCCGATAGCCCTCGAGTGCTTCGAGAGCTTTGGCAAAGTCTCCAAGCCCCTTGTATGCACGAGCCAGACGAAAATACGCCTTGCAAGTGAGTTTGGCAGATGTCGAAGTCGAAGGTTCTGGAGCGGTGGATATAACGTGTTGACAGTCAATGACACATCGTTGGTACTGGGCTGAAAATCCATCGGCAGTGAACGAGCGGTGGATAAGATAGGGGTTAATAAACGTACCAAGTTCAAGGTAACAAGCAGCGCGATTGCAAACGACTGTTCTGACAGTCTCAGAAGCAGCCTTGTCCCCGTACTTATCAATGACTTCAGAGTAGATGCGAAGGGCTTGCTCGAATCTCTTTGCGCTGAAGTGAGTGTTGCCTGTAGCTTTTAACGCTTGCGCCAGTTCTACACGACGTTGATTAGGACGATAAGCAACATCACTAGGAATGAGTGTTCAGCACACCCTCGGCGGATCCCGTAGTACCGTTCTGAGCTTTAGTGGCAGGTTTGGGCATGTCGACCAGAGAGTGATTGTAAGAGAAGCCGCGTTGATTCGTCAATTCATTGTCATCTCCTGAGCATCTGATGCTACCATATTAGGAAGGAGGTCAGTTGGGTTAGTCCTCGTCGATTTGATTGGCAGAACTGGCCTTCGTACAACACTCTGCAGTCGACAGGTCCCGCAGTCATTTCCCCTTCAACGTGTCCAGCTCAAATTTGAGCCAGCCCATAGGAATGATGAGTCACCGTTCTTATCTCAAGATCGAGCGCGGTAATTGGAAAAGCTCTTATAATTGGCGTACATATACATGGAACATAATGAGAGTTAGAACTTCCAAAGCATAAGCATAACAGATCATCAAGCAATCGTGGGTCGTCATCAAAGCAAACGAGTGGATAGGTGGAATAAAATGGAATGATAAATATGAAGGAATAACTATGCAATGACTGGTTACCGGACAGAGTCGCGTGGAGACCTGGGTCCGAAGAGACCAGGGCTTGTCCTTTCAGGTACAAGCAGCGTCGACTCTCCCGGTGTGGGGGTTGGCATAAATGAAGGGTCGGCTAAGGGGATCAAACGCGTAAGCCATCAGAATATCGAGTATGGATAACAACACTCACGTTGCCAAGTCGCCCACGAAGACACATGTGGTCGCGTATCCGGAGGAGGTGCTTCAGGAGCTGGCGCCGCGGCTTGCTTCTTTTGTCTCCTGCTACTCCGTTGTTGCACGGTTCGCCAGGCAGGTCTAGCTGGCATGGGCTCCTCCGGTGGCGGTGGAGGTGCTTCAGGTGGCGGTGGGCCATCTCCTGGCGGAGGTCCACCAAAGTTGATATTCGGAGGTTTCCTATTCAGATTCGTCAATGATATCGATCGCAAAGGAATGCCCAGGGATGCGTACCAATCGGGATCGAATTCACCACCAGGGCCGTATTTGCTGCGCATGGTGAGCAACATACCCATCTCACTATATCGGAAGAATTGATGAGACAAAAAGACACGAGATCGTCAAAAGAATCGAAACGTACGCCATGATAGCGCGCTTTTCATTGTAGAGCCTGCCGACTTCACCAAGCAGCATGCGAACCTCTGATGCCAAAGCTTTGCTGAACTCATCGAGATACTATCGAAGATGTGGAAGATGATCAGCCGAGCGAGAAGAATCAAGGGGGATAAAAACGTACGCCTTGCACGTTGAAGGGGACTTGCTCTTGAGCAGTAGCTCTGACGGCATTGAGAGTCTCCTCGTGCTGTCTTGCACTGTCGGCCCGCCAACCTATTCATTTATGAGTATCCCTGAGTCCGAGACAAATGTAATAATTTCCTCACCATCTGCCATGGCGTTGAGCAATTCTCGCTGCTCAGCATTTTGTCTCGCGAGCTCCTCCAGAACACGTTCAATTCCTGCGAAAAGTTTGAGCGCAAGCCCACGATGATAAACGAGATATACATACCAGGTCTCGCCTCAGCAGCAGCTCTCTCCTCTTCTGCTCGAAGCCGTTCAGCTTCACGATCTTCCATGATCCTATTCACCATGTCACGGAGGTCTTGCATCTGAGCGTCCTTGGCAGCCCTTCTCTCCTGCTTTTCCTCCCAGCGCTGGTTCATCGCCTCCTTCGTTTCGTTGCAGCAATCCCGGTTCTCCTGAACTATGTTGGTGACATCGCCCAGCTGGTTTCGAACAAGCTCGTCGCGTTCGAGGTTTTCTTGTCGCTCTCTTTCTCGGTTCTCAGCTTCTTCGGTGACTCGTTGCTGACGCTCATTCTCCAGATCAGCACGAGCTTTTGAAAGTTCTTCCTCCAACTCCCGAATCCTTGCCTCTCGCGCTTCTTCGGCACGATCCCGCTCTGCTGCAGCTTCTGCACGAAGTCGCTCTCTCTCCTGTTCCGCTGCCTCTCGCTCACGTACCAACTCCTCTCGTTCGCGTGCCACGACATCCATAAGATCGGCGGCATGTCTAGCAGCCGCATCCTGGGCAACCGTGCGAAGAGAATCTGCGATAGAGTGAGTATCACCCGCAGGGGCTTCAACGGGCACGACATGGGGAATGGCTCCAACAGGACGTTCGAGGTGACGCAGTAGTTCATCCCTGCGCTGTGCAGCTTCTTGGTCTCTCCTCTCCTCATTCTCGATAAAGATACGATCCCGTTCGTCCTCGTGTGCGCGGAAATCATTCTCTCGTCTATCCTCTGCATGGGCGGCTCCCTGAGCTGCATCGGCAATCTGCCTCTCGAGATCATCAAATCGGGCCTGGCGCTCTCTTTCGGCTTCTGCGAAAGCAAGATCACCCAGATCGGATGGGGGATGGGGAGGTGGAACATAGGTAGCCGCGGGGCTCGGACCCATCTCCGACCTGGGCATTTCCGCTCTAGGGGGAGGGGCACCAGGTAAAGGTCGAGCACCAGCATCAGCTGGCTCTTCGGCTCTTGGCTCTCCTTCTCCATAATCCGGGCGAGGTGGCAAGTGCTCTGAAGGAGGATAATACTCCTCCGTTCCTTGGTCCCCGTACTGTCCCTCTGGGCCCGTGTGAGGTTCCTCTTCTTCAGATCGACGTTGCGATGGCACACGGCCAGGGGGTGGGAAATCGGCATATTCGGGACGACGTTGTGATGGTACACGACCTGGGGGTCGAACACCGACATCTTCTTCGGGATGGCGCTCCGACGGCACACGGTCTGGTGGTCGGGCACCGACATCCTCTTCGGAGCGACGTTGTGATGGTAGGCGGCCAGGTGGTCGGTCACCGACATCCTCTTCGGAACGACGTTGTGATGGTAGGCGGCCTGGTGGTCCAATATCTTCAGGTTCCCCATGACGACGTTGAGATGGGACACGGGACGGAGGTAAAGTCCCTTCCTCCTCCTCAAAATGACGCTGAGAGGGCGCGCGGACCACGGTGCCCGCTCGACTCACTGGAGGACTACCACGGTCCTCCTCCTCGTAGCGCCGATGAGAAGGCGCGCGACCGACAGTACCGGCGCGACTGGGAGCCTCGCTGCGTTCTAAATCATCATGTCGAGGGTGAGAAGGAGTTCTACTGGGGTGTCTATCACCTCGATCCTCCTCCCCATAACGGGGTTCAGCAGGCAGTCGAGGATATACTGGAGCCGTGGAGGGATATCTGCGTAGTTCGCTGTCCAAGTGCGTCCTTGAGCTCATAGGACGACCCACACTCATCGGAGGAGGCTCGTACGCTGGATAAGAGGCGCTGAGTCTGAATCCGGATATGAAAGAAAAACAGGCTTACGTGGGTGAGGGTATACTTCATGTCCCTCGCTACTACCTTCAAGGTGCCCAGGAGGGTGGATGATTGTGGGGGAATGTGAGATTCGGTGGCCCAGATGTCCAGGATCATCGGCTCGGTCTAAAAAACATGTCAGGGGATATGCAAGAGGAAGAAATTCAGGATGGCTCACGAGGGGGACGTCCAGATGCAGGTGGAACGTGCACTACGATGGGTGTCGGAGAAGGACTATGGCCATGTTCAAAGTCATGCGTTTCGGGATGGTGAGGATGAGATGCGGGACTGTGTTCTCCTTCAAAGACTACGGGAGTGGGAGATGGTAATCGACTGTCCCGAGGAGGCGAATGAGCTCGCCTGCGGAGATCAGGGTGATGAGGCAGGATAGCTTCAATGTGATCTGAAAGGTGCGGAGACCTTGTGCGTCCATGCCTATCCACAAAATGAGTACGGGGGGCTTCGCCAGGCGCACGGGACCGACGCCTTCGTATGATCACAGTCTGGTGCGGGGGACTTGGGGACTCCGAAGGTGAGGGAGAACCTTCTTCGTACCCAGGATGTCGACCTCTGCGAGAAGGATGATGACCTTCAGGATAGGAAGG